AATGCTTATGAAAAATATAATGCAAACGGCCCAAAATAATTACTCCGTTCTCTTCCAAAATGAATCATATAACTCAGTATATCGTCCGGCTATAACTCTAAAATTATCAGGCTCTTCAAGCTATTAAGAATCAATTGCTACTTGTAGGAAATATATGAGTTTATACATCAGTGAGAAGAGAAGTTTGAAAATAATTATACTTTTCATTTATGCATTTTTATCGAAAATCGAGTTGATATAATTTAACAGTTCACATTACAACAATATATAACAATAATCGAGATATGAGACATCCTCATAATGCTGCAAAATATCATCTCATAATCATGATATAATCATTAGCAAATATCCCTACTATAATCTAATCACATCAATGTACTTGAAAATTCACCAAAAACGTACCATTTGATTAAAATCTATAACATGGGCATACGTGCGTAGACTGTCCCTTGGGCGAAACACTTTCGCCACAGGCCTTAGGCCTCCTCTGTGGATAAAAAACAATCTCAAAGACCTCTGGTAATCAATTCTAAAACATTGCTAAAACCCATCCGTGAACCATATGTTTAGGATCAAGACTAATGTCCAGTTAAGACCCCTCCGTGTAAGATAGAACACGGCTAAGGCTCCTCTGTGAATTAGAAGAAGTATATAATCACGTGTATTTTTCTGGTCAATCTTAATATCACATATGTCTCACATTCCAATCCACAAATAATCCGTATACAATCTTTACAAACTTCATATGCATTATATTTAGAGTTTGAGACTCTAATTTACCAACCCATTTCATTTCTCTTGTATTCTTTAATATAAATCTTACCATATTCATATTTCTTTGCAATAGTATTCTTAAATTACTTGAATATACAATAATAGCTTTAATTCTTGCTAAAATTCAAAAATAAACAATTTTTCATAAACCCTAAAAGAAATAATTCAACATTCTTATAAAGTAACTCCTAACTTGAAGGAGAAATCGTTGAACCCTACCTCAATAAGTGTTTAGCCATCAATTTCCATCTCCAAATCGGCCTCTCCTTTCTTCTTCTTCTTCTTCTTTCCTTATCTTCTCCCATTTTTCCTTTTCTCGTCTTTGCTTCCAGTTTCTTCCTTTGTAAAATTAATCGCTTTGTAATTGGAAGTCAAGTTCTTAATCTTCTTACAATATAACTGTAGTAATCTCATTTATCATATTAGTAACTAAATCCCTTGATTCATTTTTATATTATTTCTAGCCCTTTAAGTATTAGCAATTACCAATTAGACTCTATGAAAATCATTTGTCCAACTTAATTCCCTATTTGACTTTTGCTTTGGCTTTGACTTTGACCATTTAAATTATTTGATTTTGAGTAAATCATTTCTTGACTTTGACTTTAAATGAGTGTGGTGTAATAGTGATGCTTGCTACTTCACATTCAAATCAAACATGAAATTATATATAAACTCTCTTGCCAACATGAATGAGAATTGTCACATCATAACAAATGATTATTTTGGCAAGCGCTGCAAATTAATGCAAAGACTAGTTGATCCCCAAAGGTACGGCTTAAAATGTACTATGATTTCCCCCAAACGGAATCTTGAACCAAAGTAATTAAATTTATACATAAAAGATGATGAGATCCAAAGGGAGCAAAATTTTCCTATTCTTGTAAGACTTTTATTTTAGTTAGAATTCTTAATTTTTGGTAATTTCTATATTCTTAGGAGTTTTATTTTGTCTAGAATTCTTAATTTTCGTGACTTTTATATTTTTAGAGTTTTATTCCTTTTCAAACTACTTTCTAGTTTTTCTTAGAAATAGGTTATTTATTTTTCATTGCATTAGAAAACGATGGATTATTAATGAAAAATAGAGATTTTTCTTTCGAGGCTTGAAGCTTTAAAATTATGATGGGACAAATCAAACTTATCAATAATTAATATTCTTATGGCGTTCAAAAATGGGGCTGTGATTTTATAATTATTTGTAATCAAAAGGTCGACATATCCATGTGACTGTGTTGGTTGTTTGGTTTGTAATTATTAGGTCATATCCACAAAATCGGGTGAGATTCATCATGTTACGTAATCAAGAGGTCTTTCACAGCGCCGTTCTTATTGGGTTGCTTGGTTCCAATATTGTGAGTTGAGTCCAAAACCTTGTTTTTGGTTTTCTTGGGATTTGGTTCAATATCCTATGGGTTCCATAGTGTTCGTTGCTACGTAGGTTCGCATCATTTGGTATCAAAGCACAAACTCCAAGATCAAGGTTATATCCATTTCTTTTAAATTTTTGTTGAGTCTTTTGTTTTTGTTTACTTCATTTTTCATTGTTCTTGTGTTTTTGTAATTTTATATTTTGTTGTATTTGTTTATATCCTGTTAAAATTTCAAAAGTTGTTTTTGGGCTGATTTGGTATCCAAAATGACTTCTATTTGTTTTGCCAGGTTTGTAATCGGCTTTCCTATCCAGTGAATAAAAAAAAGGAGTAAAAAAAAAGTCAAAAAAATAAGAGTCAAAAAAATAAGAGTTGAAAAAAAAAGTGTCAAAACAAAAATGTCGGAAAATTTGATTCGAAGATTTGAGAAGATGCTTGAGAATATGGGGAATAAGATGTATATGATTGATGCAAAATTGAAAAAAAATTAAATTCATAGGGATCAATGTGTTGAGGGGTTCAATGTGAGGAGAGAGGAGCCTAGGATGAGAAATTGTGATGCATATGAATATGGTGGCGACATTGATGAGGTACGGGGATTAAGGAATAAATGTGATAGGTTTGAAAGAAGGAAAATGAAAACACCTAGATCGAAGCATGTGCGTATTACATCGAGTGAATTGGCGAGTCGAGATTTTAAATCAGAAGTATCAGGGCTTCATGATAAGGTTAATTCTCAAATTAATCACTTGGAAGGGCAAGAGAGTAAAGGAGAAATTAGTGAGGTGATTGATTGTGAGAAAAAAGGAGAAGAGTCACAAGAAGATAAAAAGGAAGTCAAGAGCGAAAATGGTGAAGTGACTAAAATAGAAGTGGAGCTACAAGTGAAAAATGGAGTAGGGTATTCTGAAATAAAAAAGGAGTTGGAAGTGAGCTTGCATGAAGAGGAGGTTAAAATTGAGGGGGCGTTGGAGAAAACTAACATTTCCCTCCTTGTTTTGAATAATTCTATTTCGCAGGTTGACGAAGAGTTGATTCTAGAAATCAATTCTATTGGAATACCACCCGTCCCGGGAATTGAGCCTCAGTTTGGACATCATCTTGTGGATAAAGTTCGATAACAATATCTTGCTTTGGAAATATCTATATACTGGAGATTGAATTTCTGATTCATGAGGAGACAAAGGAGTTTCAAAGGCATTGGAAGGATTTCATATGCAGAGGGCTGAGTGAAGTAGATGATCTAAAAGGCAACATTGGTACATTGGAAGTAATATTGTTACAAGTGCGTGGGCCAAGTAAAGCAAGGAGAATTCATGGATATTCATCAGATGGAGTTACTATTGGAGCATTCCAAACTTGCAAGATCAAGCAGTTAAGGCAAACACACTTTGATCCAGGGGAAGGTGATTGGGTTTACAATTGAACGCTGTGGGCTTGAGTTCAAAAGAAGTCCAAATTGTATCCGAGAGGAGACAAACCATTTCATGTTCTTGCATTTCTTGGAGATAAGGGCTATAACTTGGGTTTGGATTCGAGGTTGAATCCTTTCGAAGAGAGAAGGGATGATGTGATCCAAGGGGGGCAAAGTTTGGGAAAAATTCATAATATCGATAGTAAATTTGGCCCAATTCAAAAATAAGGTAACAGGTTTACATTTTTTGAAATCAAATTTCATAAACAACTATATGTCAAAATCTCTTTCCAAATCAGTTTCCTAAAAACTGGGAACGTATCTCCATCAACGCACGTATCTCCATCAATGCCAGTCTGTATCATAACAGATTCACATCCCTAAAATAAAAATGTTTCATCTCCAAGTTGACGACAAAAAAACTGAATTTGCTTTTTTTGTTGTTGATGGAATTCCTTCGATTGATGTCGATCGCATAATCCAGGTCACAGCTGGGGAAAGACGATCACTTAATAGTAGATTAGTCAACCGATTCGTCCGAACAGCATCTAATTCAACAGCCGTCGTCGAATTCTGGGGTTTCGATTTTCATCAGGTACATTATTGAAATTCAATTAATCTCACAATCCGCTTGCTGCCTGATAACCACTACGACACAATCGCTGTTATATGTGAATTATGACTGTGATCTTAATTGCATTAGAATTGGTCCTCTCATCTACATATTGTGACTCCTTTTCAATATCTGTGACTTGATGCTTTGACCTGATCTCCATTTGCATTTGAAACTTTTACATATTTCCTGTAATAATTGTATTGTGCTCCATTTGAAACTTTGACACATATGTGACATGATGCCATGACCTCTTCCAATTTGCAATGAAACTGCGGCGAATTTGCTGTTATCCGCAAAATGTGACTCCGTGTCCTAATTTGTGTTATTCATTAGTTGTGACCTATACTTTGTTTTGTAATTGACATTATTCTAGTTGATGTTGTAGAAATGGCATACATACATGTTTGCCTATTGAGTGGCTCAGAGCCTTCGTTGTTCTTAATTGATCGTAATTGCGGGTATATGCAATTGGTGGATACAGTTATGGCTGAGATTGGATTAAATCCCATTGAAGTGGTAGTCACAATGAAGTATGTTTTGAATAGTGAACTGCCTCCAATTGTGACCAAGAATGACAATAATGTGCTATCATACATGGCGTTGAAAGATATGGATCGTGACCCATCCAAATGTCCAATCATCATTGAGGTCATGGAAGAAGATAACCAACAGAACAATGCAATGTTACCCTTTGGTGTGGAACCCAGAATTTTCATTGATGGATATGTCATCAGATATATGGGAGGTGATAATAGAACCGTTGTGTGATAATTATGAGCATGAGGTCACGGTTGTATCGGTCTCCAACGCTAGGAACGTAGAGATGGGAAGGATTTTTCGTAACAAAGAGATCATGAAGCTGAGCTTGTCCCTTTATGCAATCCAAAACACGTTTGAATATGTGGTTGTTCGGTCAAATAAGAAGGACTATCTTGTCAAATGTTCACATGATGATTGTGATTGGATCTGTGGAGCATCTAGGATGGCTAGAACGGACTTGTTTAAAATTAGGCATATTGTAGAAGGTCACAGATGTTTCTCTAACATTGTACTTGGTTCTCATAGGCAAGCAACAAAAGCACTTGTGTCGCACTGCATAAAATACAAGTACACGTCATCACACACTCTGTATACCCTAAATGATATACGTAATGACATATTGCATACGTATGGAGTATCGTTGAATTATGTGAAAGTCTGGAGGTCTCGAGAGGAAACTTTAAAACTGATTAGGGGTGATCCAGCAGATTCTTTTAATAATATACCAAGATTCTTTGCCGTGTTGCAACATACAAATCCTGGAATGGTCACAGATCTGGAGCATGATGGTCACAGTAGGTTCAAATATTACTTCATGGCGCTAGGCACATCAGTTCGAGGTTGGGGACAGTGTAGTCCAGTTGTTGTGGTTGATGGCACGTACTTAAGTGGACACTATGGTGGGATGTTATTTACGGCATGTACACAGGATGCAAATAATAGCATATACATACTTGCTTTTGCGATTGGAGATAGTGAGAATGATGCCTCGTGGACATGGTTATTCGAAAACTTGAGGAAGGCGTACGGCTATAGAGAAGGGTTGTGCTTCGTATCGGATCGCCATAATAGCATTAAAAATGCTATTGAGAAGGTGTATCCACGAACATGTCATGAAATTTTTTCGTATCATCTCCTTTAAAATCTAAAGTCACTTTATGGAAAATCGGGTAAAAATATAACGCAAACATTTAATTCAGCTGTTCGTGCCTACACGTTGTCAGAATACGAATATACCATGCAACAGCTCAACGCGATTAATGGAAAGATAAGGGGTTACCTAGTAATATATTACATATTACCACCAAGTTATATTCTTGTGCATACATTTATTTCAGTATTGTGAAATATATCATTAACAGATAATCATGTTTATGTTTGTAGGACGGTGTTGGGCCCGCTAAATGGTCACGATTCCACATGCCAACGAATCGATATTCTACAATGACATTGAATATAGTAGAGTCGGTTAATGCGGTCACAAAATCTGCCAAGAACTATCCCATTGTAGCTTTGTTGGAGTCATTGCGACAAACCACACAGTCGTGGTTTTGTAGACATTGAGAATCTGTGCAACCCACTTTCACAACCTTGTCAAGAAAGTATCAGAAGCAAATGAGGGAAATGAGCATGGATATGAAAAACTTGAGGGTAATGTCAACATTTATGCCTGAAATGTTATCTGTGACCTGTAACTTGTTCGTTGTGGCCAACTTCTTAGTGACATTTGTTATACTATTTTTTGGTTGTAGGTTGCGCGTATTATTCAAGCAATGTTCTCAGCCCATTGTGAAAATTTAACTTTTGTTATAGAAGGACGTACATGTATGTGTAGGATGCTTCAAGTTGATAACTACCCTGTCCACACGCTCTGGCTGTGATTGCAAGTGTGAAGATGGATCCATATGTGTTTTGTTCATATTATTACATGAGAGAAGCATACAAGAATACTTACAATGAAACTGTTTTCCCTGTAGCCAAATGAATGGATAGTGCCCAAAGACTTTGAGAACATAGTCGTGTTACCACCTAATCAAAAGCGAAGTGACGGAAGGCCTACTGAGAAGAGGTTTAAATCAGTAGTTGAAGATAACATAACTGTCAAATGCGGTCATTGCGGTGAAAGTGGTCACAATCACAGAACTTGTAGCAGTTTGGTTTCTTTAAGTCAGATTCAATTGAAAAAACAAAGAAAAGATAAGGAAGTCAACTGATGATACATATCACGGAACCGTTAAGACAGTTGGTTTACTTTTTCATTCATTGTTTGAACGTAATATCGGACACAATTTGTTAGAGGACACAAATATTTATTTAATAACAACATTTCCAAGTTCAAACCTTATAATAAGGATGTTTTACTATTGTACTTGTAATGTTCTTTCCACATGAACATATTTTTAAATACAAGCAAACATTACAGGTGGGGATTGGGTATAGCCTAAAAGAACCTGTGACGTGTGTTGTGACCATTACAGTGCGAACTGTCACCGGGGGGGGGTTGTTACATTTACTTCATAATAAACGAGTGTGGGGTGTCACAGGTAAAAAATGGTCTGTTAGATGTTATGTGAACCTGGAACATTGACCTGTGACCTTCGCTATGGACTATGGTTGTGCAAGAAGAATATTATACTTATTGCGACATTTTTGGTGACTTCTTATTTGACAGGTGACCCGTTGGCAATAGACTGTGCATAAGGAATTGGAAGATGTGATCTCTGCTGTGACCTGTTTCCAGTTACCCGTGACCTTTGCAGCGAACTATGGTTGTGTACAAAGAATATTTTACTTGTTGTGACATGTTAGGTGACGTTTTATGTGACATGTGACCCGTACTATGACCCGTTGGCAAGAGACTGTGCATAAGGATTTGGAACATGTGATCTCTGCTTTGACCTGTTTCCAGTTGTCCGTGATATGAACAATATACATCAAACTGTGACCTTGTCGGTGACCTCTTCTGTGACCTGTTTCCAGTTGCCTGTGACCTTTGCATCGAACTATGGTTGTGCACAAAGAATATTATACTTATTTGTGACATGTTAGGTGACTTTTTATGTGACACAACATCTCAAGCTGAATAAAACATTCAAAACATAATTTCGAGACACATAAAATCCAAAACTCAAACTATTGCTTAAATACTGTTGCTTAAATCAAATACAAAAGAGTATCCCCAGAACAAAACACCCTTTATCAAAGCAAACAAAAAAATTATCCATAACCACACTTCACATTCCATTCTACTGAATTTTCAAACTACGCCTCTAATGTCCCTCAATAACTATACTCTCTCCATTGGTTGGCAGCAACGTCTTTCTCTCTGTATTGATTTCACGGTTCTTGAATAACAATGATGCAACATCCACACGTGCTCCAGCCACATCAAATTTCATCGGCATCGATCCTAAATCATCATGAAGCATGTACTTGACATATTTAATCACATATATGCCACAGTTATGCCTGCAAAGTGAAAAAATTCCAGTCCATTATGTGTAGAATCATATTATTTCAGTATGTTTAAATTCTCGGTGTCAAAAATTACCCATCAGGGGTAATTTGACGAAAGGATCAATTCCGATAAGGACCTTGATGTCATTATATGTTTTCCTTGCCAAATTTAATACAAGTAAGGTCTACTTTTTGATATCAAGCACTGCAAGCATCCAATGTGCTTTGTTTGTAGGCAAAATGGGCATGAACACAAGGTCCACTTCTACCCAAGGTTTGCTTAGTGGAATTCGTACACTTGTGATGTCATCAATGAGTTTCTCATCCGTGACAATTACCTTTGGATCTTGCTTGAACTTGTGGTACATGTTCTTCAGCTTAGTGTGAAACAATGTGTCGGTCGTGGTGGCGATGACTTTGATGTTTTTGCCGTTACTTGCTAACTGACGTATGTAGTAGAAGAACACATCCATATGGTAAAAAAATGGAAAACTGTGAGACTGAATTGACATATAAATTGTGTAGGGTGATCTGTGACCAGAAAATATGCTTGAGTGCACTCTATAAATGACTGTAACCTATTCACCATTATTTGTGACCAACCGTAAATGTTCTGTGACCATTACATGTGACCTGTTATGTATACCAAAATGTGATCAGCATTGGGACATACGAACCATGCATATGGCATTGCGAACTTTATAAATTGAATGTAAGAGGGATGTGGGCAATGACATATAGGTAGTTAGCTGTGACCATGACCATAGAATGTATGACATACTCATATGAATTGAGACTTACAAAGAGATACATACCGAACAACTCAGTGACCCATACCTAGACACAACTACGTACCACCATCTTCTAAATTGTGCAGGGTGAAATGTGACCAGAAAATATGCTGGAGTGCATTCTGTAAATAAACTGTGACCTATTCACCTTTATCTGCGATCAACCTCAAATGGTCTGTGACGATTACATGTGACCTGTTATGCATACAAAAATGTGACCTGCATTGGGACATATGAAACACGTGTATCGCATTGTAAACTTTATAGATGCTGGAATGTAAGAGGGAAGAGAGCAGTGACATATAGATACTTGGCTATGACCATGACCATGGAATCTATGACCTACTCATATGAATTGAGACTTACAAAAGGATACATACCAAACTACTCAATGACACATCCCTAGACACAAGTTTGTACCACCATGTTTTATTTTCGACAACGAACTGACCAACAAGAAAAGGTGGACGAATATGATCATCTCAATCATTAAACTTTTTCCTGCAAAGAAAACTTGATTGAATATTCATACACGGACTAATTATAATGATATACAAAAAATAATTCATAGTTGTTATGTGGCTTATATCCTCTCTGGAACCAACTCTGAAAGTCAGCAATATCGGCATGGTCCACAGACTGATTGTAGTATTGGAAGATTACGGCATTATCTGAATGCTTGTTTTGCTTCCCTTCATGAACATACGGAGATTGAAGTGCTTTAGCCGGCCTAGGAGCCCTCTTAACGGGCAATCCAGAACTTGGCGTAGAAATAGGAGACTCCTACATATTAATTTGATATGGACCGTGACTTGCTAAAACATGCAACATATAGTAGTTTACATATCTGAGAGAATTATCTGAGCTTACCACCTTCTCAGCAAATTCCGTGTCCTTCAGAACATCATATATGATAGACGCAACATACGTTTCTACCTTTTTCGATTTCATTGGTTCTATGGGTGTTGGTTGCGTGAAACAAACACCCAGATCAAAGGATGGAGGTTGTAGGCTATATGGAAATTCAATGTCAACGTCGGTTTCCATCTTACCGTTGCCTTTAGAATCAACGGTTATTTCCGCATCTCCAACCTGTAACATAAAATGTATAATCATAGTTAAAGTTAATCATAAATGAACATTTATTATTTTATGAGATCACATGGTATGTTGATTACCTTGTCCAAAGGTTCATAATCTCTGACAATGATTAACCCAGATTTATCTCTGAATTTGGTCAGGATTTCTTCCATGGAACTAGAAATCAAGGCGGTCACAGATTCGATCATAAACTACACGTTTGATCTGATGTCGATCAAGTCTGTACGGATTTCACCTTGCATATGGACAATATTGTTCAATTTGTTTTGCTGATCATGCTTGAGCAACTATATCTCTATTCGTTGATCATGCTTGAGCAACGATATCTTTGACTTCATCGCATCGATTGCTACACTCATTCGACGATTTTCAGTTTGGACTTCAATTAATTGTTTGAAAAACTATTTTCGCATTTCGTCAACCATCTGCACCACATCACTACCCATTATCAGTGGTAATACAATGGTAAAAACATCTATAGTCTAGATGCCTACGACCCATAATGAACTGACAGATCAATGACCTATAAACTGTGACATAGAAACGAACTACGATGTTGCACCAAGAATAATAACTGAATGTGACATAATCTATGACATGTGACCTGTTCTGTGACATGTTTCTAATACATGTGATGTGTGTACACGACGACTCATGAAAACAGCAAAGGTGGAATAACCTGTGGCTGTTAATGAATTGACAGAAATAGCGTTAGCTAGAAAATGTGACCTGTGACCCACAACTGACATTATTTAACAACTTACATCGTTTGGCACCGACTAATCCTCCCTACTAGGTAAATTGGCATGGAATGTTGTTCTCTGCCATCTGGGTGGGTGTCAACAAAATCGTCATCACCATCATCGAGAGGCACATCAGAGTGACCAAGTCTACCATCCGTAATCATAAGCAGCGGCGTAGATGCTTTTTCACTCGAGTAACTCGGCTTCCCAGTTGCCCTGACGGAATGAACTGATATGTCCACCATACCTCCCTTTCTCTTCTCCCCATGTGCACGTTCCGGTTGGACAGGCTTGATATATTGCACTTCATACATGTACCGCATTGCTATTTCCCTGTCTGACGGGTCCAAGTCACGTATTTCCATCTGCCATTCCAAGCACAGACACAATGTAATGTCAGCACACTACATCGATGTACAAAATAATAAACCCAAGCAATGAGCTGTAACAGTAACTGGGTATATGTCCGGTCATAACAGTGTGTTGCATGTCATGAGTGTGTTCTGTGGCTTGTATATTATTAATTGTGAGTCAATGAACATATGTTGTGACTTGATGTATATAATCTCTGACTTAGAATACACAACTATTTAAGTTCTGTGTTACGACTTGTGACTTAAGGATAAGCACATTTGAGATGCATTGATGTATTGTAAATGGTGTTAAGATAATTACTTCGAGATTACAAAAGCAATCAGGTCCGTCAAGCTTAGCAGTAGGTGGGTGATTGTCTGTCGTCCAATTCCTTATTCGGGGATACGTTCTTGAGGTCCTTCTTACTACATATCCATCGAGGGTAGGGATCGTCTCGTAAATCCATACTTGAAACACTATTAGAAGACCTCGTAGTCTATAAGGGGTTGTTCTCTTACTCAAACCCTCCCTCAATGAACTAATTAGAGATTAAAATCCTCTACTAGAGCAAACATATAGTGTTCAACCACCTTCTTATAGTCTCTTAGATACAGGTATGAAGTAATGAAATACAACGCGCCAAGCCTTGAAACATCCTCATCTGGAATGCCACCCGCAGAATGAAATCTTTCCTTTACATCCGTATATGTCACCACCTTCAAGTTACTGAAGTATCTCATTTTCAAACGCGAGGGAGTTTTCTCCAACCAATTCATATCCACATCACCAAAGTATCTAAGACCAGTCACCAAACAAAACTCTGACACAGAGAATCTTACAAACCTCCCAGCTATATTGAACCACATTTCATTCTCATTGGGCTGGCGAACCTGCCTCAACAGGAAATAGTGTATCAAATGCGATTGTACATCAATTTCATCGCATTCCATGAAGTGTGCAACACATGTGTTCTGCAGTATACGCCGTTGGTCTTCATTAGGGTTGGCTTTGAAATTTGACAACACACCCTTCGTGGGTGTAATCGTGATTTTACCGGGAAACCAACTATTCTCTAGTATGATGAATCTCCAAGCTTGCGCATTGGTCACAACACAGAATAAGTAATTGGTCACACAATGTTATAAAGATCACAACATGAATATGAACTTGAAAAGGAGATTTACACAAACAACTACAAAAATTCCCCTCCAAATGTATATTAATGACTGAGCATTGGTCTCAAATAAAAAAATAC